TTCTGCTGTGCATAAGGTCGCTATGGTTTGGTACCAGTGCAATGACACCTAACAACAACATACGTTCCTTCAATTGCAACAAGAAGCACTGGTTACACTGTGCGATAAGTACTGGACTGCAATCTGTAAGGTCAGTGGTTCAAACCCAACCACCACTCCTTGGGAGAAAGATGAGGCTTTCTGTTCCCATACAGACTGAGTGCCTCGGATACCCTATGCAGGGTGGCTGAGTCAGCACCGACTTAGTGGCAGAGGATTTGGGTCATCTCTGCTTTATGTTGCTCTACTGGTTACAGCAGGCTCTCCACAGGGTGGGGGTCTCTTAGACATTTTGAGCTGATCGCTGTCCCTTCTGAGTCAGCTACTCCACCGTCTCAAGAAAAGAGTTTGTCTGTTACTTGTTTTACGCAGTATTTATTGTCTTCCGTAACAACCAGGGGAAGACACCTCCCCATTCACCTTCCGTACTCACTCTTTTTAAAGAATTGATTTTACACCTATTAGACCACACAGTATGCCATTTTTAAACATTAACATGTGACTCCCTCGTAAGATTCTTAAAGCAAAAAACAAAGCATTTACCTTATTAGAAACAAACACTGTTCACTTGCTGTCTTCAAATGTCATTGCACTTTTACTTTCATAATTGGACAATGCGTTCAGGGAACAATCTGCTGACAACTATTGTTTAACAGACAACACTTTTAAGTAGACGTGACTGTCCTAAACTGTTTATTAGGCATGGATTTTACAAACATTACTTATGTTAACGGTAACGGTGGAGCTGGAGAGTGTGGTGTCTTCTCCAAGCAGCCCAGTGAGAACCACCAATAGTGTGGCGGAACTTGTGGCCCTTCTCCAGGCCACGGCTCTTGCAACCCGCAGATGTCAAACCATGCATCTCCCTGTGCTTGTGGACTGGCTTGGTGATCCATTGGGTGTCAGGATTTCTTCTGCTAGCTTTATGGAATGGATCAATGAGGGTAACTTCAAATAATTTGTATGTGGAAACTTCACCAACCCAGGAAGAATTCAGGACTCTTAGGGCCCCACAGTGGCATCCAGCTCGCTCCTCAACCACAGACTGAAGGCTTCTAGCAAACTTCAGCTGGTTAGCACCCGTGATGGGCAGGCTTATCACAGGTTGCACCTTTAGGCACTGGGCAGTTGCGGCCACCTTTGCGCAAGTGAATCCGATAGATGACATCACCTTGCTTGGCCTTGTATCCCAGTCTGCAAGATTTATCTGGCCCAGTGGGACGGGGACCCTGTGCAGCACAGAGAGCTGGTGGTAATGCCCACAGCGGACCTGCAGGAGAAATCACATCACATAGGATGGCTGCTTCCTCCCTAGTTCCTGGATGTACTTGTAAACACCCATCTCAGCTTACCCTGATGACTGCAGCCAGATGGGAAGGAAGCAGCTTTTCTCTGGTGCTCACTCTTTATGTACTTCAGATCCTTCCCCTGGTCAGTCTGTCCCCTTTCCCCACATCGCCCACCTGCTTCCCCTACTCTCCTCCTAGGCAAATGCTCCCGGCTGGCTCTTCTCTAGCTTAGGGTCTCACCCTTCCTTTTCCTTCCATTACAGTAGTCTCTGCCTCTTAGCAAACTCAGGTCTCTGCTTACAGATGTCCACCCCACCATCTCTCCTGCTGGTCTCCCTCAGACCAACCCACTCTTACTGCCCTTCTCAACACTTATAATCCCATGTTGACTCCTTGGGTGGTAAAAATGGCTCATTCCCTTGGCTGCTGAAAGAAGGGTTGGAAGTTCAAGTCCACTTAAGAGACACATAGAAGGAAGGCCTGGTGATCTGCTTCTGAAACATCAGCCAACAAAAACCTACGAAGTCGAGTTCTGCTCTGATATGCAGTCACCATGAGTCAGTCGGCCGCTGCTTACAGGCATGCCTCGCTTTATCGTGCTTTGCTTTACGGTGCTTTCCAGACGCTATTTTTGAAAAATTGAAGGTTTGTGGCCATCCTGTATCTGGCAAGACTGTTGGCATCATTTCTCTTAACAGTGCATCGGTCACTTTGTGTGTCCCATTTTGGCCACACTCACAAGATTTCAAACTTTTTTGGTATGATGCTGTAGGATCAGCACTTAGAATCAGCACTGGGCTGCAAACCACAAGGTTGGCAGGTCAAACCCACCAGCAGCTCCTCGGAAACCCTAAACGAGGTCACTATGAGGTAGAACTAACTCGACAGCGCTTCATAACTGCACACTCAGGGACTAAACTAGTGTCAACATCACTTTGATCTGCACCAGGAAAACCAAAAAGGTGTGTCACTTGCTTTATGGTGGTGGACTATAACCGAATTGACACCAGGTCCGAGGTCTGCCTGTATTGGTTTATAACTGGCTTTTGCCTATAAAATAACACACCAGCATATCTGTATTTAGTTCATCAGACTTTATTACACAGCAAAGCCTTGGGGATGTGGGGACCTCAGGTTGAACAAAACCCTGCAAGACTGCGGCGTGTGCCTAGTCAGTCCAGGTGGCGTGCAGTTACCTGCCTGGTGGGATGATGTGCCACTACTCTAAGCTTCACGCCAGTCCTTTCCACAAGTGGGGCCCCTAGCCCAAGATCACCTGGAAGCCTTCTCGGGAACCCTGACCTCTGGGCAGTGAGGTCTGAAAACTCTGCCACTGCGGATTCTCTAGTCCAGCTCCGACAATAGGCAGGCCTCTGCATTTTCGATGTGAATACTCTGTGAATACCAGGGTTCAGAGAAGGTCTGTAATTCATAGGACCCGTCTCTGACTCCCGGTCCTAAGTTCCAGGCCACTCTGCTCTGCCTTCTGACCCCCCCAGCAGAGCACCGCTTAGGTGAACGTGAGACAGCGTCCTTCCAAGACTGGTTCTCAGTTATTTGACTGAACTTCATACATGAGTGCAGTGAGACTTCACACACAGGGCTTTTCAAAACTAAACCTGCTCGCTGGTTTTTGCCTCGTGAATTTCTTCCTGATCCAGGTGGCAGCTGTTTTTGAGTTGCCATGGTGACTATAAGGCCTGAGGCTCTTTTTCCAAAAGGTCACAGGTTGTGAACCCTCTGAAGCAGGGTTCTTTGCGCACATGGGGTCACGATAAAGTTCCCAAGAGCCCTGGCGAAGTCTCCAGCATCACCTGACCAGTGGCCTAGGGCTCTCTGCAGGCCTGGCTCCCAGTTTACTTGAGCGTGTCCAGCATCCCGAACACCTGCGTGAATCGCTCTTTGTCTAAGATTCGCCCATAGCGCAGTGTGAGGTAGAATGTCTGCTTCTTGCTGTACTGCTGGATCTGGATGAAGACCTCCTGAGGCCGGTCCCTGGTCTCGGTGAGGGGGATCACGTCGGCCACAGGGCAGTAGGTGTCCTGCCGCCAGCCCCAGAAGGTCAGGTGGGCTACCCGCAGCATGGTGCCTGACTCGTTCACATACAGGATGCCCACCAGCCTCCGGAAGAAATGGCTCATCCAGCACAGCATGGCCAGGGCGAAGCCAGCGACCCCACCCACGAGGTACAGCGAGTCGAGGCTCATGAGGCCTTGGGAGTACCAGTACAAGCTGGGCGGTAGGACCACTACTGTGAGGCCCGTCTGCGCCACCTTCAGGCGGGACAGGTACCCAAAGGCTCGGATGGCGTCAAACCGGTAGACCATCTGGAATTTTTCTGTCTCTGTGTCTGATGGTAACTCCTTCATGGTGGGCGGCCTGCTTCCCACCCTCCTCCTGGGATCCCGCTCACCGCTGCACCAGAGCCCAAGGAGGGGCCTTCCGGCGGCGGCCGATCTCGGCCAGCAGGGCACAGCTCGGAGGATGGCAGCCTGTAAGACAAAAACACATTTATCACATGGAACCCAACTAATCACACAGTACCAGGGAGGCGCCCAATTCTGGGAAGCCACCAGTGTCACCAGGGATGGCAGGAAGGAAAAGCTTGCTCTTACCAACAACCAAGAGGAAACCAGGCCAAGGAAGGGCCCAAGGATATACACCGAGTGGAAGCTGACCAAGTTGGTACAGAAAGAAGGTCCAGCCTTCATTCATTGAACAAACCCCCCCAGCACCCATCCGTGGTCACCCAGCAGGAGAGAATGTGACTGTCACTTCGTTCTCCTCCAGAGCAGCTGGTGGGTTCAAGCCGCCCTTGGTTAACCGCTGCACCAACAGAACTCCCCAATAAAAACCCCAGGGTAGAACTACTCCGGGCTGGGCACTGGCTCCACAAGACTGTGCCAACATCTCCCCAACGAGAAAGTAGAGGGACCGGTCCCTGAGATGGTTACCATCTCTCCCCTCCGCGCCCCAGCCTCACGCGGGGCGGGGAAAGGGCCAAGGAGGAGGAAGCAAGAGGGACCCCAATCCGCGACGCAGAGATTTTATGAGGTGCTCAGCAATACCATCCTGTGCACTGCAAAGATCTGGGTTCCAATCCTGACCCCAATGGTCACTAGCTGGGTATCCTTGGATAAGGTACCTTGGATAAGGACCTCTGAGTCCCGGTTTCTTCATCTTTCCTAATGCGGATTCGTAGCGCACTGCGTAAAGTTGTGGTTTCAGCGAGCACGTTCGCTGGCCCACGTGACTTCAGGATGTAACCCAAGCCGGCGCACCCTCCCGCGGACTCGCACACTCAGAAACCCAGGCACCTTGCATGCCTGCTCCAGCCCTGACACCGACCCCGACATGCGTCACCTCCCCCTATTTCCACCCTTCCTCCTAACGTCTCACCATTGCCCCACCGCCCGCTTCCGGAAGTGAATTCCGCCTGCCCCGGACCCTCTAACAATGCACGTCTGTACTATGAGGAAGCGAAGGAGCGTGTTGCATTCTGGGAGTTGTGGTTCAAAACCAGTGGATGTTGCTAATCCCAAACATTACGGGAACCGATTCTCCTGATCCCGGCGTGCCCTGCGGCGCGAATGCCGACCCCGGAAGTTCTGGCTGAATTCCAGGTGCCAACAAGTCCTGGTAGGTGCAGACGGAACTAGGGACATGGCGGCTCCCGGTCCATCGCTGTGCCTTTTCGACGTGGACGGGACTCTGACGGCCCCGCGGCAGGTATGTGGCCCCGAGGCGTGCGGGACCCCCTGACGGGCTAACAACTGCCCCGGGTGGGCGCCGAGGGATAGCTAAGGATCCTCGACGGTCGGTTAGCGACTGCGTACCTGGGCTCAAATCCGGGTGCCTGAAAGAATGCGAAGGAAGTCCTAACCGGCTCTTCGAGAGCTCAGGGTGTTCAAAGATGGGACGGGATCGAACTCCAGAGGGTGGAACACTGGCACTGAGTTGGGACGTGCAGTTCTGGACGTTCACCGCCAGTCCTGGGGGCGGGGGGACGTGAATTTGAGCCCCGGTGTGCTCACCGCTTGTCACTCCTGAGCTGTACCATATAGTCTCATTTTAAGAATGTAGATTTCTGGGTTAAACAGACTTTGTTGAGTCTCAGCGTCATTCCTCACAGCTGTATGGCTTTGAGCAACTCACTTAATCTCTCTGAGCCTCCGCATCTGTCCCTTTAAATGGGAACAGTACCTATTGTATAGGCAGCGCTGGTGTGGCGCTGCGGGTTAATGCGCTGGACTAGAGTCTGCAGAGTCGGTTTGAACCACAAGGTTGGCGGTTCCAGCTCACCAGCTGCTCCTCGGAAACCTTATGCTGGGTGTCTGTGGGTCGGAAGCGACTCAACGGTGCTTAACAACAACAACCTATTGCATATGGAGGTTGTGAGACTGTTGATCGAAACTGAAACCTATCTATGTCTGCAGGGGAGCGCGGTGGCACAGGAGGATAAGCACTGGACTGCTTACCGCCAGCCACTCCTCGGGAGAAAGATGAGGCTTTCAGCTCCCGCAAACATTTACAGCCTCGGAAACCCGATACAGGGTCGTTATAAGTCAGAAACTACTTAAAGGCACAAAACCATAACAACATCCATACCTGTAGCAGCAAAATTTGGGCGTGGGATTTTTAAGACTATAGTTGTCCAGAAACGGATTCCTATTTCTGTAAAGGACCTATAGTATATCTTCATTTATGTGGACCATATGAAGCCGTACTGTGGTACTGTAGGATAAAGCACTAATCTGAAAGGCGAGATGAGTTTGAACTGCAAGGTCAGCAGTTCAAACCCACCAGCCACTCTTCGGGAAACCCTACACAGGGTTGCTATGAGTCATAACCAACTTGACGGCACTTAACAACAAAATATGATCCAAAGTTACTATTACTCAACTCTGCAAAAACAGCCATTGGCCATAAAAGTAAAGAAATGGGCATGGCTATATTCCAATAAAACTGTATTTACAGAAACAAATAACTCAGGCTGCTGTACTGTAGTTTGTTAGCCCCTGGTGGTATTGTTGTTGTTATGTGCCATGGAGTCGGTTCGGATTCATAGTGACCCTGTACAGGGTTTCTGAGGCTGTAAATCTTTAGGGGAGCAGAAAGCCTCATCTTTCTTTCTCCCAGAGATAGCAGCCCAATTCGTAACCACTATTCTACCAGAGCTCCTGGTGTAGAGTTTGCATTTCCAGGCCTGGACCTTTCAGCCCTTCTTTCCTCCTCCTTCAGCCCCATTTTACACATGAGGAAACTGAGACCCAGTGAAGCAATGACTTCAGTTTTACAACAGACCTGGGCAGTCCCTGGGCCTCAGGGTATTGTCAGTGGCCACTTTAGCCATTTCTTGTGACCTTGGGAAGGTAGAAGCTGTTTCAGTTTCTGGGTATGCTGTTTAGGAAGTTGCTTTCTGTTCCCAGAAAGAATTAGGATAGCTAAGCATACAGTGTGGAGTCGTGGTGTGGCGCTATAGGATAAGCACTCAACTGCAAGGTCGGTAGTTCAAACTCACCAGCCACTCCTTGGGAACCATATATAGGGGTGCTATGAGTATAACCGACTCAGCGACACTTAACAACAAGCATACAGTGTAGAATATTGAAAGTACCATGGATTGCCAGAGAATAAACAGATCTATCTGGAAGAAGTACCACCAGGATGCTCCTTCAGAGCAAGGATGGCGAGACTTCGTCTCATGGACTTTGGCCATGTTCTAAGGAGAGACCAGTATCAGGAGAAGGAAATCATGCTTAGTAAAGTGGAGGGTCAGTGAAAAAGAGGAACCCCCGTCCCCCCGCCCCCCAAGGAGATGGGTACACACAGGTACTGCAACTGTGGGCTCAAACAATTGTGAAAAGGACGCAGCATTGGGTAGTGTCTCATTCTGTTTCTCATGAGGTTGCTCTCCATAAGAGCATCAGCCTAAAGTAGAGTCCTGATGGCACAGTAGATTAAGCATTGGACTATTAACTGAGAGGTTGGCAGCTGGAACGCATCCACCTGCTGCTGTATGGGAGAAAGATGCCAGTCCCAGAAACCGAAACTGTAGGGAGCATTTCTCTTCTGCCCTCCAGGGTCGCCGGGAGCCAGACTGGACTCAAGGGCAGCGGGTTTCTTTTGAGTTTCAAGTGTAAAATACAAACCAGCAAAGAGACCAGGCAACCTACCATGTATTCCCTTAAAATATTTGAAATATGGCAGTCTTTGCACTGAACATAAATTATTTTTACACTCAAGAAAATAAAGCCTATAATTTCAAGGAGAATTGTTTCTGTGTTGGGTGCTCTAGGTCAACAAATCAAAGTTCTTTTATTAGCAAAAGAGCTAGTCAGCCTGCAGCCTCTTCATAAGTGCTCATCAGCGCTGATGCGACTGTTTGGAAATCCTGAAGCAACACAATGGCTGGCCTTATCTTGCAGGGGCTGCAACAAGGAGCCACCTGAAAAGGGACAGGTGCGCCTCATTTTATGGTGTTTCCTTTGATTGCACTTTGCAGATATGTTTTATTTTATTGATTTATTTTGTCTAAACTACAGGCTCTTGGCAACCCTGTGTCCAGCAAGTCTGTTGGCGCCATTTTTCCAACAGCGTGTGCCCACTTGCTGTCTCTGTGCCCCAGTTTGGTCCAGTAAGCACTGGACTGCAAACCACAGGGTCCGCAGTTCAAGCCCATCCATCACTCCTTGGGAGAAAGATGAGACTTTCTGCTTTCACAAAAATTTACAGCCTCAGAAATCTTATTCAGGGTCGCTGTGAGTCAGAACCAACTTGATAGCATTTAACAGCAACAACATAGCATTTCAGACTTTTCTTCATGTGCACACTTCACAGACAGTCTGGTGTCAACGTCACTTTGATTTGCACTGGGAGACCACAAACGTTGTGAGCCCCCTTTATTGTCATATTCACGTTATGGTGATGGTCTGGAACAGAACTCACTTGAGGCTGGCCTGTAAAAGCTAATCATAACGGGCCCCGGGGCTTTACACTGTCTTAGTATTGTTCTGAGAACTTTGCTTTAGAAACAGAAAATGCCATTCCACATAGACAGTTGGTACGAGGACAGCCTGTGAAAAGAAGGGAGATACAACCAAGGCGAGCTGTTGTTCCAACTTTCCATTACGAAAAATGTCGAACGTGCAGTTGTTGAAAGAATGGTACGCGGAGCGCCCTCATCCCCATCACCACCTAGAGTCAACGATGGTTGGCATTTTGTCGTATTAACACTGTCCTTTTTTTTTTTCTGCCTTTTGCTGAGCCACTTATTAAGCTGCATCTCCTAACAACGACATCCTCCTTCAGACGCACAAGAGCTTTGTGAAGTGAGTTTCAGATGAACCATCTCAGAAGCAGGAGCGGGATCTCACAACCATCAAGGAAGAGCCAGGAGTGAAGTGTGTCCTTTGGAGCCTGAGATCTCTGCTCATAGAAGCTTCTCTACCCTGAAACAGAGAGTGGTGGTTCTAAATCCTTTACTTGCATCTCCTAGCACGGGCATCCTCCTTCAGGACCATAGGAGCACTGTTGTTGAGGGTCACTGAGTCGGTTCCAGCTCTTATTGAGCCTGTATAGCAGGGATGGGGAACCTTTTGTCTGCTGAGGGTCATTTGGGTATTTATAACATCATTTGCAAGCATTCAGAATTATGAACTTAAAAATTCGTCTGCTACATTTGGTCAAACATTTAATTGACTCACCCCTAACGTGATGGCACTTAACAACAACAGTGTGATGACGTTGCAGGATAATGCGCTGGACCCCAAGGTCAGTTTGAGCCACAAGGTCAGTGGTTCAAATCCACCAGCTGCTCGGAAACCTTATACAGGGTCGCTAGAACCAACTCGATGGCACTTAACAACAACATGATAGCAGGAACTGTGGTTGCCTTGGCAGGGCCAGGCCAAATGATTTCGAGGGTCTTACATGGCTTACACCTTCTCCACTCCTGCTAGACAGGGTTTCCCAGCTGTACATCTTTATGGGAGCAGAAAAATCTCATCTTTCTCCCAACGAGCGACTGTTGGGTTTGAACTGCCATCCTGGTAGTTAGCATCCTGGTAGTTAGCAGCCCAGTGCTTATCCTACAGTGCCACCAGCACTCTTTCATTATCATACACCAACTGAGAAAATTACCACTGCTCCCCAAATATTTGAGACCCTAGGCCACACCATATTAGCCACAACCATTCCTTTTGGGGCTGGCTGCATTTGCAAAACTACAGTGCCAGACCAGCCTTCTTGTCTCAGCTGGGTTCGCTGATTTGTTGCAGTGGGCACACAGAACTCACAGTTTGGGGGTTTATTAGGAAAGTTAGCAGGTTACAGTTCCGGGTCAGAGATACCCAGGGTCCAATTGTTCTGGTCAGGAAGTCTCAGCTGTACCCACAGGCAGGCCTCTCTCTGCCTGGTCAGTGTTATCACAGAGCGCTTTAGGGCCGCTGATAGATGCCCTCAGGGTACACCACTCCAGCCTCAGCCTGGAGGCACTAAGCCCTAGCTCCCCCACTTAGTGCCTGGAGATACCCCACTCTGCATGGAAGCCTCCTTCGCAGGGCTGGGAAGTCCATGGCTCTGCCTCTCGCTCTGGTTCTTGGTTCTGCTGCTGCCCCTTGTCCCTGTCACAGCCGTCTGCCCCTGGGTCGAGGACGTTCCGTGTCCAGGGATCTCGGGGTCCAAAGGGCACGGTCCACTCCTGGTTCTTCTTCGATGGTAGAGAGTTCCTCCGTCCTGCATCTGAAATGGTTCATTTTAAACCCAGCAGGATGGGAACAGGAATCCTGGTGTGGTGCTGTAGGATAAGCACTAGACTACAAAGTCATTTTGAACCTCAAGGTCGGTGGTTCAAACTCACCAGGTGCTCCTCGGAACCGACTCCACAGCTCTCACCAAAAACAATCATGATCCTGTTGACAATCACAGTGAATCATATCATTGGTCAGCATCTTCTCCAGCCTTCTCGCTTGGTGGAGTTGACAGAGACTGACTAGAAGAGACATGAGATGGTTCACGACACCATTCATATGAATTTGACCTCCAGGCCCTAGTTCCTGACTGCCTAGCCTAGTCAGTAATCACATCTCCTCAATCCTCCTGTAATCCCCACCAAACCCACTGATTCCAGCTCAGGACATGGCGTTTCCAAGGCTGTCAGTCTTTACAGACGCAAACTGTCATCTTTGTCCCTCAGGTAGCAGCTGGTGGGTTCTAACCACCAACATTCAGGTTCTTAACTACTTAACCAGTGCTTAACTACTGCACCACCAGGGCCCCTGAGTTACCCCCAAAAGGCCTTTATAATTGGTTCTTTCAGAAGATGGAGCTTCAGCTTTGCCCCCCTTTCCAGTTTACAGCTCCGGGGTTCCACTTTGGGGTAACCTCTACAGGATTCTGTGTGGTTATTGGACAGGACTTCTTGGGGAACATCGGGAACATTAGTGTGGGGATTTCACACCTGAAGCAGGTTATTTACTTTTTAACTTTTGGTTGTGAATGAGTGAAGGTTCATAGAGCAGTTCGTTGGTTTTGTTTCCTCTTACTGATTGCAGCCCCTCCACCCCCCCGTGTGACATGCCTTATCCCTTCCTCTCTGTGTTTCTTGGTCCCATTCCTCCTCCTTTCCCCACCATTCTGAACTCTGCCTTGGGGAAACACTGCCCTTGATCTGAATGGGTGATGGTTCGGTGGTGTGTGAACTTGACTAGCAGTGACTCCATGTGTACCGGACCATTGCCTGGCTGACAATGGAGCTATGGGGGTGGTGGGGAGTTCAGTCCCAGACATGAAGGGAGACCAAGGGCCGGAGTATCAGGGTGAATCACCGGTCTCTAGCTGACCAGTGAGCTGCTGTTTTTTGTTTGTTAATGAGTTAGGGGTTATTTAGATGCTGTGTTCTCGTCACAGCAGCTGGTCTTTGTTTCCTATCAAAACATTTGCTGAGGAGCCCTGGTGGCATGGTGGTTAAGGTGTTAGGCTGCCGGCTGTTTGAACTCACTGGCTGCTCCTTGAAAGTCAACGTGGTCTGCCCCTATAAAGATGGACCTGTAATGGGGCAGCTCTACTCGGTCCTATAGGGTTGCTGTGAGTCGGATCCAACTTGACAGCTGTGGCTTTGGGTTTAGGTTTTGGCAGAGGAAAGATGCCTTCTGTGACCCATTTCCATTGCACAGCGGGTCATGTTTAGGACCACGGGGGTCAAGGGTGGTAGTCGTTAAGGGCCGTTGAGTCGGTTCTGACTCATAGCGAGCCTGTATAGGGTTTCCGAGGAGATGCAGGTGGGTTGAACCACTGGCCTCAAGTTTAGCAGTCCAGTGCTTATCCTGCAGCGCCACACCAGGACTTCCAAGGATTAAGTTGCAATAAATTGAACCCTTTTGCTTCCTTCTGTTTGAAGACAGAAGTATTGGTTTTTGTGGTGGGGGTAATGTTGCATGTTTAATATTTTGCAAGCAAGTCTTTTCCACTTCCTTCCATTCTGATTTTCAGTGTAAGTAAACCACTTGGGAAACTCCTCCCTGGTGCACAGACACTGGTGGTGCAATGGTACAGCACCTGGTTGCTAACTGAAGGTTGGCTGTTGGAAACCACCTCGCAGGCCCACGGGAAAAAGACCGGCGATCTGCTCCCGTAAAGGCGACGTCCGGGGAGTCTCCATGGGCCACTTCTACCGGGTCATGTGACGTCGCTGTGGGTCGGAATAGCTCAGCCTCTGTTGTCTCAGTCACTCACTGCTGTTGAGTTGGTTCCGACTAGGTGATTCTGTAGAGTTTCTGAGGCTGTCGTCAATCAGTGCAGGAGCAGAAAGCACCAGGTTTTTCCCAAGAAGCAGCTGGTGGGTTTGAACTGCTGACATTACGATTGGCTGTCCAATGGCTATCCTACAGCACCACACCAGGACTCCGTCTTATGCTGTATTTTAGTGCCTTTGGATAGGTTCCAACTCATAGTTATTCCGTATAGAGTGTCTGAGGCTGTAAACCTTTATGGGAGCAGAAAGTACCATCTTTCTCCGGAGATGCAGTTGGTGGACTTGAGCTGCCGTCTTTACGGTTGGCAGTCCAGTGCTGATCGTACAGGGCCACACAGGACTTGGTTGCAGAGTTACAAGTAACTTATTTGAAAGTTCACCTTAACTTCTGAAGCAGCGTGTGTGACAGGCAAAGGTTGAGTTAAGCCTCGCGGTTACCTGTTGTTACCATTCTGTTTTCTTTCTTGAAACACAGAAAATTACCCAAGAAATGGATGGCTTCCTACTAGAACTGAGGCAGAAGATCAAAATTGGAGTGGTAGGTGGATCAGACTTTGAAAAAGTCCAAGAGCAACTTGGAAATGACGGTAAGCCCGCCACCACTGACGCCCCTCAGAGGAAAGGTAGTTCTCACGAGACTGTCCTGAGGCAGCCTTCTTGCTTCCTTGCTTGGGGAATACATTGGCTCTGCCCTTCAGTCCTGTGAATAAAGCTGGAACTGCGGTGGAACACATGGTCCCAGATCCATAGGTAACGTCACCTGGACAGTCAGGTGTCTGCCTGGCTGCCCACCAGATCTAGGTGCCCCCACTTCCGTGTTGCTCCAGCACTGCGTCCCCCAGCTCCTCCCCACTTATTGAGCCAGAATCCCCAGTGCTGGGCCCTGGGAGCTGTGGGGTCTTGTTCACCCCTTGCCTGGAGATCGCAACTCTGCTGCTCTTCCGGGCCTGGGAGTCTATTTCAGCAAGTACCCCAAATGATTCCACTGGGCACCCCTGCTAACGCAGCACTCAGTGGTCATTGGTTATCACAGACTGTCTGGTTACTCAAAGGGGCTTCAAAAAGGTCGTGAGAACAAACTTTTTTTTTTTTCCATGTTGTTTCTTACTGTACATCGCGTGGAAGTTTACAGAACAGATTGGTTTTCCATTCAACAGTGCATCACCCAAATAGTAGTTCCTACCATGCACTGCCACCTGTCCAACCTCCTTCCTGTGTTTCCTGGCTCCTCCGCCTTCTGAACTTTGTGCCCGGATCAGCGCTGCCAATTTGCTCTCAAATGGTTGATGATTCTAAGATGTGCGTACCTCCCTAGTGTGATTGTTCCCCTAGTGGTACTTGTGTGTCTTGGAACTGGTCCCGACTTAGAGCGACCCGGCGTAGGCTTTATCAGACTGTAAATCTTTATGGGAGCAGAAAGCCTCATCTTTTCTTTCAAGAAGTGACTGGTAGTTTCGAACTGCTGACATAGTGGTTCGCAGTTGACTCGTAAGCCACTACCCTGCCGTAGCTCTTTGTTCTTTTACAGACCAGGCTTCTGCTGAAAATTGCGCCATGGGGATAAGTTCATTTCCAGACCTAAATGGTGACGAAGGGCTGTCGTCTCAGCTGTCCATCATCTTCTCATTCCGTTTTTTTCCATGAAGTTTTTGAAGCCCCCTTGTGTATACGTCTTGAGAGGCAGGCGTATGGCTCCCCGGGTGCCTGACCAGTCAGAAGCAGGCGTGAAGAAGTGGGTGAACTGGTCTTTCTGAGCCTGGGCATGGCACATCTGGGCCAGGTGTCTTGTGGAGACCGTTCTATGCATTGTCAGATGTTTAGCGACATCCCTGGCCTCTACCCACCCCTTCCAGCAGTGTCTCCAGGCCTTGTTACATGTCCACGGGAAGGGGGGAGGGGGGCTGGCAAAGAAGTGGCCACCAGTAGAGGACCACTGCCCTGGGTGTAGATTTCACGCCCCATGGGCGCATGCTGCGTGCATTGATCGCAGTTGCTGCAGAAGTAATTGAGCCTTCTGTTCCACTTCATTTCCCTTCCTGGGCTCTGCCTGGAAACACTGACGGCCACAGTCAGCCTCTGCAAGCCTGCTTCTTACCTGGTCAGGATTACCTGGTCAGTTGTGTGTTCAGAGAGGTGGTGTGAGTATCGTGTTGTGCGTGCATTCAGAGCCTAAAGACAGAATGGAAAACTTGTCAAGCTAGAAGAAAGCGAAGACCCACCGGTACTCCCAGCAACTGGGGAGCAGCTGGGGAGCTCATTCCAGTGCGGAGGTGGAGGCCCCTGTTCACCACATAGTGATGTAGTCTAGGGACCTAAGCCCGGGAACCTGCATTGTAGCAAGGCCCTAAAGTTTGAGACGTCCCCCAGGAAGAGTTTATGTGGATGCCTTCCAAATGTGACCGGCTAAAGAATTATCTGCGGAGCTTTAAAAACCTAATTGATTTGTAGCTGGGCCGCTGGAGTTCCTGTTCAGAACACCTGAGGGTGGGCGGAGCCTGGCCCACCACGCACATTCTCACAGGTTAAGATGATTCACAGGGAAGGAAGCTCGGGACGTATCTGTATTCACAAACCGGAGGACTGAAGGCAGACACCCCCAACTAACCCATCCCCAGTCTCCAGCGCCTGCCCTGGAATCTTCATCTACTCGTGTAATCCATCCAAGGAGCGCTCTTACAGTCTGTCTGTCTGTCTGTCTGTCTGGAGGACTCTTCCGCAGCCCGTACTTGACTTCAGCAGTACCAACACTGATGAGGTGTTCATCGAACAATAGAACCACAGGTTTCCATAATTGCGTCCTAAAGTCTTCTTTTGTTTTGGTTGTAGTGGTTGAAAAATATGATTATGTGTTCCCAGAAAATGGCTTGGTAGCATACAAGGATGGAAAGCTCTTGTGTAAACAGGTAGGTTCTCAAGGGTGCAAAGTCCTATTTACTAACCTGTTTCCTGGAGGATATGTAATGTCCTGTGGCTCTGGGCAGCTCGGGGGAACGGGTGAATGAGGCTGACCACTGTATGCGCTCTTACTGAAGTTTGAATCTGTTACCTACTCCAAACTGATGTCTAGAGTTTTATAAGTATTTTTTAAACATTGTAGTTTGGGTGAAGGTTCACAGAGTAAAATAGATTTCCGTTCCACAATAGACAGACTTTCTGTTTGGTGCCCTTGGTTGCAGTCCCCTCAACGTGACAGTGGCTTTCCCGCTACCTTCCCAGGTGCCCTTGTTCCTCCTTTCTCGCCCCCTCCTGCCTTCATCAGGTCTCTCATAGTTGATTATACTATGGAGCCTGCCCCTCACAGGTGCTACGGTGTTCTCTATGTTGTTGTTGTCATGTGCCGTGGAGTCGGTTCTGACCCATAGCGACCCTGAACAGGGTTTCCGAGGCTGTGAATATTTACGGGAGCAGAAAGCCTCATCTTTCTCCCGCGGAACGGCTGGTAGTTTCGAACTGCTGACCTTGCGGTTCGCAGCCCAATTCTTAACCGCTAAGCTACCAGAGCTCCTTTATAGACTCTGAGAAACCATTCTTGTGGGCGTGGTCCATCTTCAGGAATTCATGAGATTGCTAGACCTGGCAAACAGATTGTAGAAACGAGCAGGCTATTCTGCAACTAGGAAATTTAAATTAGAATGCAGCCATTAAAACCATGGGCAAGCCATTTTGGCTTCTCTGGGGGAAGGGAAAGTGGGATGGACGAGCCATAGAATTGTATATGAGGAACTGGAGGGGAGGCTTTTTTGAGACAAGAATTAAAACCCTTTATGGCGCGCCTGCCCGTGTCTACGGGGGCTGGGCACCCAATAAAGAAAACCGCACTCTCTCTAAAATGAGTACAGATTGGATTCACTGAACGTTTGTCAGTATAGACAACGCTTCTCACAGAGCTGTCTGTTGTTTGCCTGAGAGTTGATTCATGGGGGTGGAGTTAGCACCAGGTTTGAACAGCGTCTAAGGAGTAACGTTTCTACCAGACTTTGTTGTTGTTAAGTACCGTCGAGTCGGTTCCGACCCATAGCGACCCTGTACAGGGTTTCTGAGGGTGTAAATCTTTACGGGAGTAGAAAGCCTCATCTTTCTCCCGCGGAGCGGCTGGTAGTTTCGAACCGCTGACCTTAAGGTTCGCAGCCCGATTCATAACCACTACGCTACCAGAGCTCCTTTTCTACCAGACTAGTGAGTCTCATTTATGATTTTGGATTTTGTTGCACGTTTTGGTCCACTCTGCCAGGGCCCTAGATTGGAGTCCCTGTCAGAGCCATTGGCAGTGGCAGCTGGGGTTCACATAGCCCATTAGGACTAATTGTTTCCTTGAGGTTTTTAATGACTTCTTTGCTCTAGACAAGAGAGACTAATAGTATCTTAGATATATAACTTTTTAAAAAGATATTTGCTCTGTGATACGGGTCATCTTGATATAAGCAGGTATGTGTGTGGTAACAATGTTATGTGTGACAAAGTGTTTGCCACGTTAGCCTTTTTTCCACGTGCAATCGGTGACGTTAATTCTGTTCATAGTGTCGTGCGGCCTTCCCTGCTCTTCATTGCCAGGGACCATAGGCTTGGATTGTAGACACCGTATTACACAAATAACATGACTTATGCAGTGTGTTTGGGTGTTTTTGCAACTGTGTAGTTCCCTTTGCACACTATGTATTGTATTCATGGGTGTGCTGTTTATATGGGTGCATTCATTATATGTGAAGAAATGCAACAGTTAGATCAAGGTCATTCCATTCAGACGTTATTAGAGGAAGTCAAAGCGGAACAAAGATAAAATATCTGTAGATATTTTAATAGAACAAAAGTAACAGAGATAAACCCTTGAGTCTTCCAGGAAGCATTAAAAAACTAATGAACAAAAAAACCCCAGAGTCATGAAGTGGAAGATGCTTTTGAATAAAAGCCCCTTCAAGTCGAGTAGTGTTTCACCCAGAGGAAGCAGGGAAAGAAGGAAAGGCAGTGGGGTGTGTCCCCATTGCCGCCCCCATCAGCTGAGTGAATGCCCCTCAGGTGGTGGTGGTGGATGGAGACCCAGGTGTGCCGTTTTGGAAACAGCTGAATCAATAACTCCAGTATTTTCTTTATCTAGAACATTCAAGGTCACCTGGGTGAGGCTCTCATCCAAGATGTCATCAACTACTGTCTGAGCTACATAGCGAAAATTAAACTCCCCAAGAAAAGGTTGGTATCTTTCCAACAAGGAGGTATGTTACTGGGTGGTACGCTGCTAAGAATTTAACTCTGACCCCAGCGTGGTGCAGGGAACTGTGGGAACATGCTGGAAAGCCACCAGTACAAGAAGAATGATATCAGTGGTGGCAGTGGTTGTGGGAAACCATCTAACACACCACTAAGTGGACTTGAACCACCCACCCTTCAGGGACCCACTGAGTATGTCACCCGTTTGTAACAGTCAGGGAATTCACAGGCTGTAGGACCTCCTGCTCTGGCTAACGAGTCCTGGTGATGTAGTGGGTTAAGTGTCAGGCTGCTAACCACACAGATTGGCGATTCAAACCCACCAGCCACTCCAAGGGAGGAAGATGAGGCTTTCTGCTCCCGTAAAGATTTACAGTCTTGGAAACCTTAGGCGGCAGTTCTAGTCTGCCCTCTCAGATCGCGGTGAGACTCGGATTCAGCTCATTGGCAGTGGGTTTACTTCCATTTCAGTAAATTAAAAAAGAAAAGTTTTTTTTAACCCTAACGTACATAAATGCCCACAGTAAGCAGATTGACATGAGTGAACCAGAACGCCCATTCTTGGGAGTGGACTACATGCACTGCCGGGAAAGTGAACTTGGGATTCACCACCAGCAGTACTGGACTAGATCGTGCAAGATCTCCCCCAAGTCCTGAAGTGGTCGCCAGTTCAAATCCCCTGCCGCTCTGCAGGAGAACACGAGGCTTCCTGCTCCTATAAAGACTTAGAGCCTCACAAACCCTACACGGGGTCGCTCTGAGTCAGAACCAGCTCAGCAGCAGTGGGGGTTTGGGTTTTAGTGACTTGACTGGTGACTTCTTGTATAGACTTGTCTGTTTCTTCTCTGTGATGATAACATGTCCCTCCTTAATCCGAAGGAGACGCACATTTTACATGTGACAGATTTCAGGATAAGCTTCAGATGATTAGGGTTCTTGCTCAGCGTCTCCAATCTGAATTTGGGGGCTGGCAAGGATGAAGCAAGCTGGTCCTGAGGTGCAGCTGCGTGATCAGGCCTCTTGGTCTCCCGCTGCTGTCAGAATAGCCCGTGTGGGGACTTTAAGAATTGCACGTTGCTTCCTTATGATTCGAGAGACTCAAAAAGTCCAAATCAAGGTGCCACCGTGTCAATTCTTTCCTTGTCAACAGCGCCTTGTCTTGTGGGGTCCTCACAGGGCACCCGTCTCCCCCAGAACTAGTCACAGGTCCCGTGCATGTCTTATCAGCCTTTTGTGTACCGTGGAAGTGATTCGGTTTTGGGCCTCATGAACTTACTAAAGGAAGCCCTGTTCCCAAACAGTATCTCATCTGCAGCTATTGGGCGGGGCTTGGGTTGGTAGCACTCAGTGGGGGGAGGACAATTTCATCCATAATGTGGGTCGTTGTCCTAATCTTTTACTTTTGTAGATGTTAGAAGTCCATGATGAAAAGTTAAAAGCCACATATAACCCACTCGAGTCTTTATTTTAGACTGAGTTTGAAAAGACGATTAAAAAAAAATGAGGCATAATCCTCAAAAGAGTTCACTGTGCCTCCCTTCCCCCTTCCCCTCCAGGGAGGCGGCCAGGCAGAGCTGTAATTCCTCCAACAGTGTGAGGTGCACTAAGGGGCAGCATGGGGACCCACCTCCATTAAGCATCTGTGCCCATTTCCTATCAGTACCAGCTGTGTGCCCCACGTAGGGCAGGGACATGCAGTCCGACCCGGGCAGCCCCGGTCTCCAGGGAGGAAGAGAACTGTGCTAAAGTGCACGATCCTCATTCCTGGAAAGGAGGTCTGTGATGCAGCTGCCTGCCTCCCTGCCCTGAGGCACAGAATGGTGTCCTTGTGCTGGGGTAAAGTCAGTACTCTTGTTCCCATGGTTTAGGACTCCCGGTCCTGGGGTCACCCCGGGAGTGCTCCCCAACCCCCTTGCCCTGGAGTGCAGGTGTAGATGACACCGTGCATGGACAGAGGACAGACTAGACTAGGGATTTTGGCCCATATGCCTCTGGGCCCAGGTATGTACATTGCATTTGCCTCCATCCCCAGAGCCTGAGGTTTGGTGGTGCCCACCTCACCTAAGGCATGTTTACTCCTGCCCTGGTCGGAAAGTACCATTACCTGACTGTCCTTAGGCAGTAACCAGAGCACTGCCATTAGCCCCTTTCTGTAGGTGAAGGTGCTGGCCTCCATGCTCTCTCCATGTGGCTGGGGACCACGGAGACCATGTGCACAACGGCGAAATGCTGTTCCTTCCAGTGCCATGCACAGGAGCGCCTGTAGACAGAACCTTGGTGATCCATAGGGATCTTGTTGGCAGGTTTTCAGAGGTAGATTACCAGGTCTTTCTTCCTCCGCTGTTGTAAAATGGCAGCTCTGCTGAACCTGTTCTGCACCCTGACCACACAGACCTGCACAGACAGATGGGTGGTGGCTACACTTGAAGTGTCCTGGCTGGGACCTGGGCCTGGGTCTCCCACATGGAAGACAAGCCTTCAAGTGTGTATTTGGCCACAAAATACTAAAATTGCATTTGTCAGGGTGGAACACAAGCTTCCCTGTTATCTGAGTTTCTCAAGAGGCTATTTTGAAGTTCAAAGTGGAAACGTAAGGGGGGGAAATTTGCTCTTTTTTTAAAGCAAAAAAAACCCCACATCGACAAATAGGTTTCTGGTGCCAGGGGCCTGCCTTTTCACTCTTCAGGAGCTATGGTGCGCCGTGTGCGGCTGGGAATCGTTTGTGGCTCTTTGGTAACTAAAAGGAGCAATGCTTCCCACACAAACAGAACGGGAGCCAACTACATGATTGTAGGGTTTCTGTTGCTGTTAGCTGATGGGTTGGTTCCGACTCATGTGCTCTGTATGACAGAGTAGAACTGCTCATGGGTGTTCTTGGTCACAGCCGTAACGGGAGCAGGTGTGGGTTTCTCCTCCTGAGCGGCAGCTGGTGAGTTCAGACTGCCACTGTTTCGGCCAACAGCTGAACACTTCATCATCACACCAGCAGGTCTCTTGGAGCTTTCAGAGGCCACATGAACAAAAAAGCCCAAAGGAACAGATGAAAATTGTTTTAATAATACATTTTCTTTATCCCCAACATGCCCAGAACATATCTGAACTTAGACTAAAACATGCTTCCTTTTTTATTAATACATACATTGTGGTGTGCCCTGCGAGTCTGTACCCAGAGTAGAACTGCCCCATAGGGTCCCAAGGCTGCCACCTTTACAAGAACAGGGTGCGAGGCCTTTCTCCTTCAGAGCCGCTGGGTGGGCTTGAACCACCAACTATTAGTTCGCAGCTGAGCACTTAAGCACCGTGCCACCGCTGCATATATGTATGTATGTATATGCGTGTTGAGTTTTGGCTAAATCTTTGCAATCCGGTCTCCTTTTGGACTGGCCACGTTTCAAAGCTCAGTAGCCACATGTAGCTCGTGGCTACTATATTGCACATCCAGGCCCTGGGAAATGGCTACACTGGTCTCTGCTAAATGTTTGTCCTGTTCGTTCCCCTGTAAGGTGACCAAAGTGGAGCATGTGTCTCAGGAAACCTCTGTCCCCATCTCTCCTCTCCAGGGGTACTTTCATTGAATTCCGGAATGGGATGCTCAACGTGTCCCCCATTGGGCGAGGCTGCACCCAAGAGGAGCGCATTGAGTTCTACGAGCTCGACCAAGTGAGTCCAAAACGGCCCTGTGGAATGGCTGGGTTTCTGAAACAAGACCAGAGGTGCAACTTTGTAGCCAGGACTTTCTGAGGGAAAAGAAGAGCTGTGTTCTTCCCATCTCTGTACAGTAGACGATCGGACCTTTTTGTCTTTCTCAGAGAGAGAATATCAGAGAGAAGTTCGTCACAGACCTGAGGAAAGAGTTTGCGGGAAAAGGCCTGACGTTCTCCATAGGTATGGGATCTTCAGTGCATTGTGGGTCGGGGAGCAACAGAGGGTGGACTGGGTCCAGTTGTGAGGTGGGGACAGGATGAGATGGTTAGAATGGTCTTGTTTCTGCTGTTGGCCAGAACAAAGCCGGTGCCTTTGGGAAATGACTTCGGGATGCTTGGGCTGGGGTCTGAATCTTAGCCAGTGGGTCCCTCAACTCAAGAATAAGAACATCTTTTTTCCACCCTAGTTTTTATGTTATTGATGAAAAATAGACCAGCAAAACACACACCCATCCAGCCATACCCAGCCATTCCTACGTGTACACAATCCAGTGGCACTGACAACCTCACGCTCCCTTGCCCACATTGGTCCCCCAGTAGCATAAACTACCCCCCAAGCATCCTGAGTTTCTGTCGTCAGTTTGACCCCATTCGGATCACTTTCAAGGACGGTCATTCTCAGGGCAGATGGACTATGAGCATGTGGGTGAAGGAAGTGCCAGAATGTACCCAAACCTCTGGGCAGCAGGGGAGCATCGATTGAGTTCTCCCGGAGACAGATGATGAGACTAGAAACTTTGTCTTTTCTATACCGTGTGTGTAATAACACAGGTAAGAAAACATGGCCATTTCAGCCTGGGGGGGGCGGTCCGTGGGGGGAGCTAGTAATAACATTAGGTGAGAAAACATGGGCCATTTCAACCATCTTCACCGGTAAATACGTTCATCCTGATGTTCAGTCATCACCTTTCTCGAATCTCCCCTCCCCCTTGACAGAAGCTCAGGTGTTCTCAGAGTGCTCTGACCCCCCGGCCCCCGTGCTCCTGCTGACCCATCGATGTGTCCAAAATGGGACCGTGCATGAGTATGTTCTTGAACCATCTGTAAGCATGTACTGTTTGATCAGCAGGAAGCCTCAGCCGTCAGTTGGGTTGAGTTTACAGACTGGAGGAGAGGGGGCCTCTGTGTCAGTTGGCCTGGCTATAGCAGCCTCTTCGTAGTCTGGGCTTGATGGCTCTGGTGCTCGGCGCCACCATCCGCAGCTCTGCCGCCTCTGCCTGTCACATCCTTCACCCCATTGATGCTGCTCAGTCATTTGCTAGTCTTAATCAATGCTGTGGGTTGTAGGGAGCTGCGATTGCAAGGGGTTCTAGGTAATAGGCTGCTCTGAACTGGGAGAGAAACCTTGCTCTGAAAGGGTTTTGGGGAGGTGGGGAGAGGTGTACTCTGTGAAAACAGCCTCTATCACCCACTCTGGCTGCTGTTTTTCCTGCAAGGCAAGCAGCTTCCTTCTGGGTATGTGCAGCCTTAAAACCAGCCATGTACAGCCACTGTCCGAAGCCCAGCAGCCTGCTGCCCTTACAGCCACCTCCTAACTGAGCAGTTAGGGCAGACCCGAGGGCACTGGTATTAGGAGAGCAAGACAGAGTCCATGTCCCATGTCTAGAGTGGTGTAAGGAACAAACTAGCGTCAGGTCAAGTCATCCTTACTAAGCAATCCAGAGAGCTAATGTGTGTTCGTGTTGGCCTCATAAATGGGCTTCTCCAGACACAATTCAGTGGCGTTGTTACGTCCTTCCAGTGGTCCGCCACTCCCACCCTCCTTTTCCAGAGTGTTCTGTTACACTCACTGCCAAGCCACACAGGTACCTGACTCATCTTCAACTTGCCGTTCAATCCCACATAGAGCTTTTCTTTTTGTTGTTTTTATTGTGATTTGGGTAAAAGTTTACAGAGCAAATTGGATTTTCATTCAACAGCTCATGTGCATTTTGATTCATGGCATTGACTAGAGCCCATCTCCCCACCTCCTCCCTGTGTTTCCCGGTCCCTTTCTGTCTTCTGAGATTTCTCCCCGGGCACAGGCTGCCTTTGGGTCTCTGGGTTGTGCACCTCCAGGTCGTTCCCTCACAGGCCAGTCTGTGGGGCAGAGAAAGTGGAGCCTCTGGGAGACTGTCTCTATCAGAGCAGCGGGCCTGCTCCTTTGGGTTTTTATAGGTTTTTGTTTTTTTTTAACTTTTTGATTGTGAATTGAGTGAAGGTTTACAGAGCAGATCATGAGTTTTACATCCAGCCAATCATACACTGCTTCGTTGCAATGATCACAATCCCCACCATGTACCCAGAGTTGACAGTGTTTACCTCTGTTCACTGTGACATTGTTTACCTGTTCACTGTGACATTGTTTACCTGTTCACTGTGACAGTCATCACCTCCATTCACTGTGACTGTTACAGTTCTCCCCGTCTCCCGCTACCTTCATCCTTCCTCTGCTAACCTCCCTCTTGTACATTTCCTGCCCTGTCACCCATGTGAACATGTGTTTACGCTCTAGCCTGTGAATAATTTTCCCTACCCTCAGTTCCCACCCCATAACCATCATAAATCTTTTTTTTTAAGTGTTAGGTGAATTTTCTTGTTATAAAACAAAACAAAAAGTCTGTATTCATTTAAATGTCCAAAGGGCACATTCTGCAAGCCAGCCTCCTGCCTGCAAGGACACAGCCTTCAGTCAGTCCATGGTCCTGGAACCCAAAGTTGCTATCTCTCCAGACCATTGACCTTGCCACCATCTCTGCTGTGTCCACTTTTCTAGAGAGGGTTCTCACACTCCACTCATGCTCTTCCTTCTTGATGGTCCTGGGATTGTCTGTTCCTGAAATGAAAGACTAACTACTCTCCTCTTGTAGTTTCCCATCTTCTACAGTTAAGAGTCTTGACCTCACAATTAATCCTGCTAATAATGACAAGTGAATCATAAAATCCTATCAGCATCACCCCCCACCCCCTTTTACCTGACTCATCTGGAGAAGAGGAAGACTATTCAGTGGGGATTCTATCTTAGCCCCCTCATTCTGACACTAAGCACACCCATGAAAGTTTGTAAGCCAGCCACTTCATGCCTTTTTAGCATCTCCATTTTTGATAGCTAATGTGTTGGAAGAAGTGCAGCAGCCAGAGTGCTCCTTGGAGGCCAAGATGGCCAAACTTAGTCTCTCATACTTCGGACATACTGTCAGGAGGGACCAGTCACTGGAAAAGGATCTCATGTTTGGTAGGGTGGAGGGTCAGAGAAAAAGAGGAAGACCCCCAGCGAGATGGAATAGCCAAGTGGCAGCATCAATGGGCTCAAGCATGGTGGCCGACAATTGTGAGGTTGGCCCAGGATCAGGCAGTGTTTCATTTTGTTGTACGTAGGGTCACTATGAGTCAGTACCGACTTGATGGCACCTAACAACAACAAAGTGTAAAATGCCCTCCCGATCAACCCAGGACACTGAGGGGACAAACTTTTCCCTTGATAGGAAGAATCCTTCCATTCTGGGTGGAATTTTGAGCAGCTGCCTCCATAAGCAAAAGTCCAGTTCATCAAATCCAGTAGCCATTTATATTTGCTCACAGTATCCAACATCTTCACCTTCAAGACCTTGAGTTCTAGTCCGCATTTTCGCCCAGTCCATCCAGGCCCTTCTAGTGTGATCCCATTCAGAGCAGAAGATTGTGGGAGCCAGCCACTGTCTAGTTCTTCAGGCCCCAGGGTCCTGGCTGGGGTTCATCCTCTGGACTGACTGGCCCTGTGTCTTGATTGTCTACACTCTCCCTTTGCTCTTGACGGGGAGAGACCAATAGTTGGCCCCAAAAGGATACATAGGTCTTAAAACGGCACAGTGCTCACTGACTGAGACTGTCACTGGGTTGGTTTGTTCATTTTTGAGTGACGGATCATTAACCTCTTTCCCCTGCCCCTTCCCCCCCCAACCCTGCAGGAGGCCAGATCAGTTTTGATGTCTTCCCTGAGGGATGGGACAAGCGGTACTGCCTCCGACACGTGGAGAATGACGGCTTCCACACCGTCTACTTTTTTGGAGACAAAACCATGCCGGTGAGTGAGGAAGGGCTTCAGCAATGTGGGGGTGGGCAGGGGGGGGTGGTCCACAAGTGGGCTTTCTTCCTGTCACTGCACCACACACTGAGTGACCCTCCTGTGACCGAGCCCCGTCCCCTCCACTCAGACCCCTGACCCTGAGCCCCAGCTGCACATCAGTTAGCAGACCCTCCTCAGTCTGGCTTGTGATTTAATAACGCCTGCCCTGTGCTGTTTTCAGTTTCCCAGCTTTGCAGAGTGCTGGGCGACTATTTCATCAGCCCCGGTATGTCTCCCCAGGAGTGCTCATTCTAGGCTGAGCACTGGGGGAGTATATTAGCAGAGGGCACCAGGGACAACTGAGAGGCAGACAGGGTCAGTCAGAGGCATCATACACAGGGTCTGAGGGTCTAGGGGATCCCAAGTCTGGAGTGGACCTCAGGACTGAGCAGAGCCCAGAGTTCAGGCACCAGAGGACGGAACTCACAAGTGTCCCCAGAGCTGCTCAGCAGTAGAGCTGGGCTCCCCCAGGACATGCAGTAGGTCTGCCTAGGCCTGCCTTCCAACTCAAAGGAAACGCCAGGGTCTAATCTCCTTTTTGCGTCGACAGAGCCAGCTCTCAGTCTGTGCACAGTGTCACAGCTGGTGACAAAGCTAGAGGGGACAGAACAAACCAAACAAGCCAAAGCCGTTGCTGCCAAGGCTGTGTGTGGCGTACGCCCAGGCTCCAGAGGGTCGCGGGGCTCCGAGCTCTCAGAAGCAGATCCCTAAGCCTGTCTCCCGAGGTGCCTCAGCATAGGTTTGAACCAGTGACCTTTGGGTTAGTAGTCTGCCCACTCTTCAAATGCGTGTGTGAGGTGAGGAGGCCTTTGTTGTAATATCCAGAGGAGCACAGTGCCTCAAGTTCATACAGAGAGTGTGTAGGGCCATGTCCTGCTGAACTGATCCCATGCACATTATCACAGGCTTAGAAACATGATGCCTTTAAGAAATAATGAAGCTAGTAATTGTGTGGATGGGCCAAGGAGGTTCCTGGCCATTTCTGACGAGCTTTGTATAAAGGCAGAGTCCTCTGGAACAGTGACACTTGCTGCGTGGCTATCACCATCCTGAAGCTGGCAGGATGACACTAAGCACACTTCCATGGAGTTTCTGTCCTGCGTAACCATGGCAGCACAGTGATGGTTCTGTTTTTGAAAGCTCTAGTAACAAAGTGGTTACGAGTTGAGCTCCTAATCTCAAGGTAGCAGTTTGAAACTACCAGCCGTTCCATGGGAGAAAGATGAGGTTTTCAGCTGCTGTAAAGATTTACAGCCTTGGAAACTCTGTACATGGTCATTATGAGTCGGAACTGACTCCCCGGCACACCAGTACCTTCTTTTGGAGTCCTGGTGTGGCGCTGGACCGCAAGGTCAACAGTTCACATTCACCAGCCGCTTCTCAGAAACCTTACACAGGATCACTTTGGGTCAGAACCGACTCGACAACACTGTTAACAGCCTCCTTTTTTATTTAATGAACTTTTCCCCTGCCCCTCTGGTTTTGAATTATGGGGCAATATGGAGATACAGGGTCGCTATGGGTCGGAACCGACTCGACGGCACTTAACAACAATGGAGATACCAGAAAGCATGAAGATGGGGAGCCCCTGTAACCACAGCCGCAGCTAGCTGTCTGCTCTGCCCACCCCCACTTGTACCCTCTGCTCGAAGCAAACCCACTACCATCGAGTAGATTCCAACTCATGGCCACCCTGTGGTCAGGGGAGAGCTGCCCCTCCTCTCTTCCCTGCCGAGGGTTTCAGCTGTAAATCATTGTGGAGGCGTGCTATCCTAGCGTTCTCCTGCCAAGCAGCTGATGCGTTTGAAACGCTGACCTCGTGGTTATCAGCCCAATGCTTAACCCACTGTGCCACCAGGACTCCTTTTTGCATGTCAAGTGCCATCTAACTGGTTTTGACTCATATCTACCCTGTGCATGGTGTCCAGGGAGCGGCTGGTGGGCTTGAACCTCTGACCTTACAGTTAGTTAATCCTGCACCACACCAGGACACCTTTCTGCATATACATGACCCCAAAATGGGGTTCTTTAGAGGCTCCGTGTCTTATTGCCACCTTCTTTTCTTGTTACAGCTAAGTGCCATCAAGTCAGTTCTGACTCATAGAGACCCTGTATAGGGTTTCCAAATAGCAGCTGGTAGGTTTAACTGTTGACCTTGTGATTCACACCACACCGGGACACTTCTGTGTTATTGAGGACAAGATCTTTTGTGCTCTGTAAAGTCTGTCACTTGGGCATAATTGTCTTGACCACAATTGTCTGTGCAGACATACCACAGCCTGCATTCTGGCTGGCTTCCAGGACACCTGAGCACCCAGCCTCTCTCCAACGCTTTACAGCAGGTGCCCTCGAGCTCTAAGCCAGCTAGAGGACAGAGTGAGGGAAAAGACATCAGCCCTTGCCTTTCAAATCACTTGTCTCAGAAATCCCCTCTGCTTCAACAGCCAGGGTTTATGAGAGCTGGCTCTGAACTTGGAGGGAGACCTTGGGCCCAGACATCTACTCTGTCATTAATACCCTATGGAGGTATAGGGGGCACCCTCTCAGCTGAAGGACCCCCAAATCCACAGGCAAGAGAGTAACTGCACATTTTGGTGTTCTGAGCTAACGTCTTAACATTCATCTACTTTATGAATACTTCCTGACTCTCTGGGTAATTGAGCCACTAGGACACTGGTACAAGGAGACAGAAGTTGGCAGTTCAAACTCTCGCAGCAGAGCTGAGGGAGCAAGGTCTGGTGATCTGTTGCTGAAGAGACAGCAGCCTAAATAACCCCATGGGGCAGCTATGAATCAGCATGGTTTCCACTGGTACAAGTACGACAGGACGAATGTGGGGCCTTGCTGGGGGCTGTCAGACTGAAGAGGCTGAATGACAGGCTTCACTTTGGTCTCTGTGAGAAACACTGCTTGTAAAGACACACAGTAAGTCTGCACAGATATGAAAGAAATACCAAAGGGTACATTTACAGCGCTTATCCTATGGGAAGACAGCACACTAAGACAATGGCATCTTTGTCTTAGTTTCTGAACCTTGTGTCAGCTACTAAAAACTATCTTCACAATGTCCGCCATAATACATTTAAAAACTATCTTCACAATGTCC